AATCTTCTCTACAGCGATGGCCTCGTATGCCTGACCAGCATCACCCACCACGAGACCTGGACAGGTCATCGGCGCCTGGCAGCCCCTGCACAAGCATGGGCCCGACGACGGCGCAGACACAACGTGAGAATACTGGTCCACAATGTTGGGCACAGCTGTGCCCAGAGAAGAGAACGACCACCCTGGGTTCATCTGGTTGGAGAGGAAGGTAAACGCGCGACTGATTGATCTATATAATGAGCGCGAAGGTAATCGAACGAAACTGCATATGTTCCGAAACCAGCTATGCGTGGGTTTGGTACACTTATGGCGTCCTTGCTCAGGGGGAAGATGTCCACCGTCCCAACACTTTAGCTTGACCGTAGGGTAGATGTAGGGGGCGTGTTCAGCATAAAGTGGGCCTTCACCTTTGGCCCTGAGGGACTTCGGGATAGTATAATCGTACAATAGACGGCACCAAGCAACCACCGCAGCCTTAGATGTATCAACAACGCGCCATCTTTCAGGGGCCTTAGCAATCATATGTAACCAACGAGCTAGATGGTAAAGTCCATCAATACGCCACATCGTGTTCGGGTCCTTGTCCTCAACCGTAAAGCAGATGGGGTCCTGGGCCTCAGAGACCTTCGCTTCGAATTTCAGTCGGGCCTCTCCAAGGGCCTTATATCGTCGGTCGTCCAGGGATATGGGTTGGGATGGGCGGGGGCGTCGGGCACGATAGTTAGGGTAAGTCGTTTTGTCGAGACCTTGGGACGACAGCCACCGACGACACGATGTTTGGGTGTTATCACGCTGGGGCTGGGGCAGGGAGGGAGTAAGTAGGGGTATGCGTCCGTTCATATGCATGCGTTCCATGTCGTCACCTCGCGCAGCAAGGTGAAAATCACACAGGGAGAGCTGGCCGAGAGCCCGATAGTCCTGCTGCCGAAACGTACGAGCCACCGTGCAAAAGCGCTTCCTGAGCGTAAGTTCAGGGCGCACCAGGATGCGAACAGACTTGGCCGCCCATGTCGCCCAGGCCGGGCGTGAGGGTCTGGCCTGCTGCACGGCGCGGGCAAGCCAACATTTGGCAGGCGCCACCTCCGACTGGTGTGATACCGTCGCAACGCTGCTGACGGGAGCGGGAAGCTTAATGGAGTGGAGGTAGGACTTCAGGGACGAGCGCACTCTAACGCGATCCATCCAAAACGGATACAGTGCTGTGAACTCCCAGATGTTGAATAAAGTCCGTGCCGTGGGTCCGATTCTTGCATATCAGGTCCCACGGCATGTGCTGATAGTTCGTGGAAGCCCATTTGAGCATCAAGATCGTGCTGCCTGAGCCCGTGATGTTAATCGGGCCCTGCCCCTGCTGTGCCTGCACACGCTGCTGCATAATCACATCGTGCAAGTCACCATATCTATGCTGGAGAAGGTGTTGCCATCTATGACGTGCGGCTAAATACTGCGAAAAACCATGCGCTGTGAACATAATGTGTGTATACGCTTGTCATACCAATTTTGATTAAGTGCGGTCTGCGCCTCCGATGTGTGTTCACATTTCCGTCGTGTCCTCCGATGCGTACGCGCGCGTGGGTGTAGCCGATACCGTGCACGTAGGCGACCGAGGTGAGGATTATTGAGGTTATCAGCCAGCGGGCGTGAGTATGCAATGTGTGCGCTCTCAAGTGCATGCACGTCCTTAGTAGGGGCAATGGCCAGGAAGAAGAACAAGAGCCAGGAAGTACATCCAGGTGCTAGTTGTACGTGGCGGCTTCTTTCCTTAGTTGGGGTCCCCAGGGCAACGCACCGTAGGCCTCGAAGGTGCTCCCGAAAACGTCCAACGCCTCCAGAATACCCCGAAGAACTCCGAACGAGGGATCCCTGGCCGATGTGCAAGCTCTCGGAGCCTAACTGGTACACGAAACTCGAAGAGACAGGGTTCTTATCCTTGGCCTGAGGCGTCGGCTTGGGGTCCTGGATACAACGAGCCTGCAGATCGACAAACTGAAACAATTCGAGCGCCTCCGTGATGCTCGCCTCCCCAGGCCTTGAGAAGGCGGCCTGCTGGAGCGGTGTAAAACTATGACACAGGCGATGAGCACGCATGCGAGATTTCCGCCCACCTCGGAATAGGGCACGAACGCGGCAAATGGAGATGCACGAGGTGACGGCCGTCAGCAAGACAGACACGTAAGAGCTTACCCCAGCAAAGGGGATGCACTTAAGCAAGTCCAACTGAACCACGCGCATAGCTTCCAGAACGGTCGCCGACGGTTGAGCACACAAACACTGCCAGAGCCCAGCCGTGAAGACTGCTGCCACCGTCGAAGCATATGGAGAGGAACCTTTGAGATCTGAATACACCGAAAGCTGGGTCGACCACCCAGTTAGCAAACCAAGTTCCCGAACAACTTTGGCCAATATCTGAGAACCACCAAGCGTGTGAAGTGCCGACCGTTGCCGCAGGTGAACCCGAGTGCGGTCGTCGCTGTCCGACTGCAAGGTGCCAGTAGCACAGGAAACGCGGAGCGCCAAGACAGTGAGGAAGAAGAGCCAGCGACCTTGTTTAGTTTTAGTTGTACGGCCGCAAGCCCAGAGCACAGAGCAAGTAGCTGCAAACACTGTATTGATGCATATCCAAACGACATGGCCACCAATTGAGAGAAGAAAGCAAGACGAGTATATCATAGCCCACCATAGGGCGAGAAATCTGTCACGGAATATGGATGTTATGGATATCTGATATGGATTCTGACGCGGCGTCTCTACCACCTCCCATCGTCGTGAAATCTCAGCCACGAGTGAAAAGCTTCCAAGTGCATTGGAGTCTGCTGAAACCGCCAAAGAGTGAATTGAATCTCCTGGTGCGTCTCGAATAGTACCCGCGTCGTGTGATTGAAATCCCGATGTGTAGCCCATACAAATCGTTCGATCTCCGAGAAGCGATTTAGCCATCGAGAATCTGAAGTGAGAAAGCCACCGATACGTAAAGCCAACTCGCGATCCACGAATACTCGATCACGTGCCTGCTGCATGTTCACAATGAAGGGTATGAAGGGTATGAATCACGTAGACCAGGGTGCGGTACACACAGCCGTCAGACGGTAAATGCTCCACTCCCCCTGGGTCACACAAGTGATGAGAAGTTAACCAAACTTGTTTGAGTCCCACTTTGAGTCCCCGTGGAGGCCCTCGTAGGTCAGGGTCTCTGCGAACGCGAAGCGTCCAGGAATATCCAAAGCTCACAACTCCAGATCTCAACAGACGCGAAGCGTCCAATAATATCTAAAGCCAGCAACTCCAGATCTTCAGACGCGAAGTGTTCACGAGTATTTTTTTTGTTTTGCTCAACGCAAGCGGGCACCGATCAACCGAGCGGGAGCCTATACGTATATGCGCCGACAAGTCGGCTTGAGCGAGCTCCTAAACCCCCGCTCGGAGGTCTGATACTGAAATGTCTGTGGCGTGAGAGGCGGCAATCAAGCAAATGACACCGATAAGAACAGATACTATTAGCCTGTTGCTTTTAGGCCTTGGGGGTGGGAACGAGACGAGGCAGGATAAACGAAAGAAACGAGGGGAAGAGAGAGGAAAACAAAACTTATCAGGCTGTTGGGCTGCTATCTACTGGGCTCGACCGTCATGCGGATTTCCCTACACTTACACGAGCTCAAACAATATACAACCGAACAAATCGTATTCTGAAACGCTACGCTCACAAGTGTGTGTGCAGGGCAAAGACACGTCGGAACTCTAGGAGAACTGTAAACGAGTCCAATAATATGCTGAAAGAAGCACACACACAACACCTACAACACACAAAAAGCACGCACCACACAAAGCATACATCACACACACACGCACAACACTCACGATCCTGGGGCCTCCTGGAGCCTCTTCTGGTATCCAAGTCGGGCCTCCTGGGGCTTCCTGGGGGGTCCTGGTACACGCATCGCAAGGTGTGGCAACCCCACTTGCGCTCGAGTGCGACTTCGATGTTGCATTTCACTCCTGTTTCAAACGCCCCTTCAGTTTTTTGTATGAGCCTGGGCACACACGTGCCTGCTTCATATATATATATATATATATATATATATCGTTCTGGTCGCGCATTCGCCACTGGTTAAGATCTCGCAGCTGTGCCAGACAGCTGTGTTGAGGCGTTCGCGCTGCGGGGCCCCTCGTTTCACGCACCCGCCTCGCGCTCCCAAAAGACGGAACGCCGAGGGGGCGGTGCGAACGGGGGGCCCGCCACCGAGGGAAAAGACTTCCCTGGGAGGCCGCCGCGGCCTCTCCAAAAAAAACTTGCTCGGGTGGTTGCGGGATGGCAGAGCAAGAAAGCTGCGAGAGCAACATCGGCGAGACAGCGGGGCCCCCGAGATACCCCAATGACCTGCTGTCATAAGTCTGATCTCGTTCTGGTCGCGCATTCGCCACTGGTTAAGATCTCGCAACTGTGCCAGACAGCTGTGTTGAGGCGTTCACGCTGCGGGGCCCCCGTTTCACGTGCCCGACTCGCGCTCCCACAGGACGGAACGCCGAGGGGGCGGTGCGAACGGGGGGGCCGCCACCGAGGGAAAAGACTCCCCTGGGTGGCCGCCGCGGCCTCTCCATTCACACCTTCTCACTGGCTATAGCCGGAATTCAGTAACATTCGGCCAAGCTGCTCAAATATATTTCTCGAAAGTGGGCTCATTGAGACATCAACAAGGTCGGCGACAGCCTCCTCGAGATATGCTCGTGCAGAGGTTACGGCGCTCCACCTTCCTCGCTGCATTGTTCGCTCGAGGTTGGCGCCTAAGAGAAAGTCATGACAGGCACCTCCTCTCCTGAAACTGCACCAGAACCAGCGCGCAGGAGGGATCGATGCAACGGCGAGGAGCGAATTCAGAATCTTCTGAAGCTGTATGTAAGAATATGGGCAAACATGATCTGACGGCTGCGCGCTGGACGTCGCAGCTCGCAGCAAGTGCACAGCAACTGGCGTTCTGACCACTACGAATTGCACCTTGCCAGACCTGACGCCCATCTTTGTCTCTGAGAGCCGCAAAATGACTCCACCTTCGGCGAACGTGATGTCCTCATAGGTGAGGTCTCGCAACTCTTTGGTTCGAAGCATTGCGTCAAACGTGACAAGGACCAAAGCTGCCAACAAACACTGGCCAGTGGCCAGCGCTGCGCCCGCAAGCCCGAGTGCCATCTCGGGGCTCGCAGGGTAGGCGCGGCTGATGGGCGCTAGCTTCTGCCACGTCTTGACCAACGACCACGCAAACGGCAGGGCGGTGCGCAGCTCGGGGGCGAAGAAGAGGCAGCCTGCGAGCGCGTATCGGCCCTTGCTGAGTGTGCCCTCGTTCGCCCACTGGTCCTCCACGTAGGCGCCCAAAGCGTGGTCAGCCTCGGCAGAACTAGTCAGCGGGAAGCCGCCCTCGATGGCGAAGGCGAGGAACTCCGCGACGGCGATGCGGTACCTCCTGAGCGTAACCGCACTGACCCTGAGATCTGAGAGCCTCTGTGAGCCTCGCAGGCGCTGGAGTCTCTGGGCTTGCGGCGAGAGCCTCTTAGCTGCCAGACCTTTCGGGGCGGCGCGTCGGCGGGGTTGTTTTCCGACGCGATATAGCTAAGCATGACGTAGCAGCCTGTCGCCCAGCATAAAGCTCCCCAGCGCTTGACGTGCATCCGCAAGACTCTGCTGCTGCTGCGGCCCTTCGTGAGCACCGAGGCGGCGACCTGGCTGTCGATGAGGTGCAGCATACGCCTGGGGTGGCCCTGTCCCGACCGCAGGCGCCACTTGATAGTGTTCACTGCCGCCTGGATCTCTAGAGCGTTGATGTGCTTCCCGATTCCAGCGCGCCACCTGTAGCTCGATATCACCTTCCACGTCCAGACGTTGGGCTCCAGCGAAACGCGACGCCACGCTCGGTGCCTGAATGGGAGGTGAACGTCCAGGCGCACGTCCGTGCCTCCCCGCTCGGCGATCGACAAGTAGTGCCTCGCGAGCTGCTCCGCCTCGGGCTGGTACTGGTAGTTGTCGCTCTGATGGTACACAGCGTTGTCGTTCCAAGGCGTCCTGCACCTTCCGATGCGGCATAGGGCTTGGGGCCCCCACAACCGCGGCTGGTACTCGTCAGCGACCAGGGCATGCTGCAGCAGCCATGTCACGGCATAGACTGAGAAGCTGTTGCCGAGCAGGAAACAACGCGCGGTCTCAGAGCTCGAGCCAGACCCGTCTTTCACGGCACACTCAGTGTAGCCCCGATCATACCCCAAGAGTACCTCTCCCTCCTTAGCTGTCGGGGGACGGAGCTCCATGGTGGCCTCATGCTGGAGAAGGCAGGCGCGCTCGTAGAGGCCGACGTGATAACGATGATCGTCCTTTTTCCAGCGCGCCTTCGCCTCAGGACTGGCCCGAGCAATCCCAGCAGGACGAGTGGGCTGCAGCGAAGAGGGCCTAGCACACACGAGGGTCGGCACTGGCAGCACGCCACCGTTCCAAATCCAACCAGGGGTGACCCAGGGCAGCTCCACGCGCTCCGCGCCGTCGGCAGTGACCTCAATGAAGTGACCCTTGTTCTGGTAGCAATAGCCCTCGCATGGCAGGAGCTGCCAGGACAACCAGTACAGCCGCGGTCTCCTGTTGGGAACCAGGCAGCTGCTGCAGAAACGGTAGGGCGTGACCTTGAGTTTGTAAGAGATGCGCTCGACGTCCTCGAGCGGCATGGAGGAGACATTCTCGACGAGGGAGCACACCTTGCCAGGGAACGCCTCGTTGAGCAAGTTGAGAATCCGAGGTATCTCGCTGAAAAGGGCGCTCTTCTTGCCCTCCAGCCCTCTCCTGCCGAACATCAACCTCGACAGATCTTGGCAGGGGCTGCCCGCTCCACAGTACACGAAGTCGACGATGCCGCCAAAGAGCTGCACCAACCTGTCAATCTGCTCGACCCCCACGTCCTGGATGTTACCCCAGTCGATGAGGCCAGGCCACCTCTTCCTGACGACCCTGCGTGCACAAGGATCCACCTCCGACGAAACGTAGCCTATGATCTTGGTGCGCAGCCTGGAAAGCGCCACAATCATGCCCCCGATCCCGTCGAAGAGCCCAATGACTAGGACAGCAGGCACCTTATCGCCAGCGGGCGGCGGCAGGCCAGGGTTCCTCGACTCCCAGGCCCGCCAGCGGGGCGCCTCGCCCAGCAGGAGGCGTCCTGCCATGAAGTGCTGCCGGCCCTCCTCCCCAGCAGCGGCGGCCGCCGTCAGCTTCGCGAGGGCCTCGGGGCAAAGCTTCGGCGATGTGCAGGCACCTCCTCCGTCTTCTGACGCATCCGAGCAGGTGACCCTAGCGTCCACCTCCGCACGCAGGTCCGTGAAGGCGAGTGGGAGGAGGCCGATGCTGCAGAGGATCTCCTCGGTCATCCCAGAGTTGACCCAGCCAGAGTGGGTGCCGTCCGCGAACTTCCAGACCTCGTTCAGGATGCAGAAGAGCACGCGCCTGAACTCCAGCGCCCTGACCAGCTTTCCCAGAAGTACGAGCATGGTCTTCCAGAAGACCCAGTCCTTGGTCATCAGCAGGGCGCCGAGCAGCATCGTCTCGAACAGCTTCAAGGGCGGAACCGAGACTCGGCCCCGCAGGCCATCCACAAGCACGCCCATCCTCTCGACCTTCACCTCGCCGAGGTGGGCCTTATGCTCGGCCCAGGCGACGCCGTTCCGCTGGTAAGATGACCTCTGCTGCTTCTGGTAGCTAGACTCGACGCCGACCTCCTTCCTCGCGTTGTCGACGATCCTAGGGGCATCGAAGTCGTCAATGAAGAACTGGAACCAAGCGCGGCACTTACCCACCTGAGCTATGGGAAGAGGCTTGTCTCTCCTCCACTCATCCTCGCCAGGTAGGCCAGCTCCAGCAGGAGGAGGGCGCAGGCCTAGTCGTCTGTGCAGGTGTTGGAATAACGTAACAGCTAGCAGCCAGCCCATCGGTATGACGGCTGAGCAGACGTGCGCGGTCTTCAGCTCAGGGCGCCCCACAAGTCGACCAGGAACCCGACCTTTGAGCGCGGTAAAGCTGCGCCAGGGGCGAGGGATCTTCCAGACAAAGAAGGCCCCCTGCTGGTCGTCACCCGACCAGAGCAGCACACGCTGGCCCTCCAACACCACAGTAACCCAAGACGTAGAAGCTGTAAGCGTCGAGAGGTCCTGAGTCATGATCTTCAGGTAGCTGTTGGCTGGCGCCATGTTCATGATGAAGCGGCATTGTCTAACCTCTTCAGCCTCTGGGGTGCCCTTCTTCTCAACTGCAAAGGCCCCGTTGAGAACAGGCGTATCATTCACCTGGAAAATGTGCTCGTCCTCAATGGCTTCCACGATGCCGAGCGAGTACAGGTGGCCGACGATCTTGGCCCACTCGGCGGGCGAGTCCACCAGCAGCCTCGCCTTGGGCACCTCGGGGGGCCATTGGGCACGCGGCAGCAAGGCTAGCGTCGGCTCGTCCAGCCAGGCGAGCACCTCAGGACTGGCGTGCACACGTGGGTCAAGTCGACCTGCAACGTCAGCAGCGGGCAAGCCAGGTCGAAGCTCTCCGAGACGAAGTGGCAGGGCACGCGTGCTGCTGTCGATGTCGTATGCACTGGAGGCCCTGGTCGAGATCTCGCTGAGGAGGGGCAGCTGCACCACGCCCAGGTTACCCTCGAGAAAGTACGAGACGGCCTCCCGCATGACTGCAATGGCGCGGACCTGAGCGGACGAGTAGTGCGAGTGGTGGCCCCACGCCTCCTCCCCGCACGAGCCCGCGTACTGGTAGTTCGTGAGCATCACCTGGACGAAGACCCACATCTCTGCCGTCGCAGTCGCAGCAGAGGTTCGAATAGACTCGGGCTCTAATTGATCGACGGTAGCCGCAGTCGGCTTCTGACATGTAAGCTTCCAGGCCCTAGCATTGGCCAAAGGTGGAGCAGCCAGAGGCAGTGCATCCAGAAACCTCTGCCCCGGCTGCTGCGGCGAATGCGCGCGATGAGGAAGCGCCGACAAAACTTGCCAAGCCTTCCTGGATGAGTAAACATGGCCTCTATCAGCCACAGCACGAAGGTGCGCGGGGCCATGCCATCCTCGAGGGCCGCTGCAAGCTTGACCTTCCAGGTCCTCAAGTCAGTCATGCTCTTGAGCGTCCAGGGCCAGCTCGCTCCGCCGCTGGCACTTGACGAATTAGCATCGGGAACGATCAGCCCCTCCGATTGGCTGCCCAAGGGGCGGCAGCCTTCTGGTTTGCAGCCTTGTCCTGCGTGCCCGCGCCCTCCAATATGACCTTGCGAGCGCCTCCTCCCGCAGGCGGCGCCTGCTTCTTCGGGGCGGAGCTCCGCATGATCTGAGCGAGGCGCTGCCGATGCTGGCCTTGCGTCTCGCTGTCTTTCTTCGGGTTCTGCAGCTTCAAGTCCCTGAACGTCCTGGAGGGCCTGTCCGCATTCTGGGCTCGTGGAGGCTGGCGGCTCGCGCCCGCCACCTCTGCAGCGCGAGCCGCCCCCTGAAAAACCTGATCGCGAAGTGGACCACCGAGCTCTCCTTCTCCGGGGTGGCCTGCAGGGGCAGCCCCCGAACTTCCTGGAGCCATCCCCCGGCCGAGTCCCTAGCCCACAGGCCTGAGCTTGCCCGCGAGCTCTGCGAGCTTCAACTCGCCGTACTCGGTCTTTCTCAGGAGCTCCTCTTCCTCGATGTTGATGGCCGCCATGTCGGCGTCATGGGAAATGAGCTCCAGCCACCTCGCGCTCCTCCAATGCTTGTCCTTGCAGGCAAGCTGGCACGACTTGAACCTCTGCATCAGCATGTCCATGGCCTCGAGGAGCCTGCCCTGGATCAAGAGGTCCAGGGACTCGAAGAGGGTGCGCATCTCCCTGAACATGCCCCCGCCAATGGCCGAAACGGGGTGAGAGGCGAGAAAGAGAACTTGTTGACTATGGCAGGGAGCTCCTCCTCAACCTCATGCATAGCCTTCGTGCTGAGAAACTGCTTCAGGTGCGCGAGATGCGCAGTCGACAACTTCCCCGGGGTGTCACGGGCCGCCCTCCTGAAAAAACGCTCGTGAAGCAGCAAGGGCCCTCCCAGGCGTGAACTCCAGACCGTCGTTCGCGCCGAAGCCCTCGATGCCACCTCCCTGCGACGGCGCCCCCAGCAGAGAGCGGAGCAGGTGTGCAGCCGATCCGCCTCCGTCGCCTCCCAAACCAGCAGCAGCTGCGCCGTCGCCGCCGCCAGCAGCACCCGCGTCTGAAGAGCCGCGCTTGGGGGCCTTCGCAGCTCTCTCGGCGAGGATCTCCTCCAAAGGCTTCCTCTTCGCGGGGACCGCGGCGGCTCCAGCGCCTAGCGGCTCGCCGCCAGCGACGGCGTCGGCGCCGATGTCGCCCTTCAAGACGGCCAAGCGCTGGCGAAGGAGCGCCTGCATCTCGGCGTCGGGGCGGCGGGCAGCAGGCGCGCCAGCAGCAGCGGCAGCAGCAGCTTCCAGTGGAGTCTCGCCGCCAGCAGCCCCACGGGGTCGAGCGCCTGCTGCAGGGGGCGCGTCGGCCACAGGCGCTGCTGCAGCAGAAGCCCTGCCCCGCGTAGGCGTTCGCCCTCGCGGCCTCGCAGCGGGGCCAGCGGGCAGGGCAGCAGCTGCGGCGGGAGCGCGCCCGCCAGGGCCGACAGCCTGCGCGTCCGCCCCCTCGATGACCCTGGCAGTGAGCCCGAACTCGTCAGCTTCATCTCCGTCATCGGCCAGCACCTACAGGCCAGGCTCGGCCTCGTCTTCCAGCGGCTGCGGTCCAAGCTGAGCGGGCCACCGCGCAGCAGGGCTGATGCGGCGGAAGGACAGGTACTTCTCCCTGACTGAGTCCACTATCCAGAAACTGTCGACGTGCGTGACCTCCACGTCGGCTGCCGAGACTGCTGAGCACCTCGAAGCAGGCACATCGCGGCAGAAGTGCAGCAGCCGCTGCGGGCGCCTGGCGCCAGGAGAGCCAGCATTCTCCCCGTACCACTGCAAGTACTGGTCCGTGCAGAACAGGAACTCTGCACGAGCGAACTGGCCGTGCTCGTCGGGCTCGTACAGAGCGAGGATCCGAAAGACTGCCTGGCCTTGATCCTCGTCCTCGTCGTCGTAGCAGACGGCGTCGATGCAATCTCCAGCGCGCAGGTGGCGTACCTCGCCAGCGTCCTCGCCCGCAGCGTCACCAGCGGCCTCCGCCGCCACCGCCATCGATCCTGCAGGACGGGCGACGCCACCTCGCGCGATCGCGCACGCGCACCCTGAGTGCGCGAAAGGATAACAGAGCAAGAAAGCTGCGAGAACATCATCGGCGAGTCAGCGGGACCCCCGAGATACCCCAATGACCTGCTGTCATAAGTCCGATATATATATATACACGCACTTGTATATGTATATATACATACACGGTTTCAATATGTATATGTATGTATGTATGTATGGATGTATGTATGTATGTACGTACGTACGTATGTATGTATGTATGCATGCATGCATGCATGCATGCATGCATGCATGCATGTATGTATGTATGTATGTATGTATGTCTGTATGTATGTATGTATGTATGTATGTATGTATGTGTGTGTATATATATATATATATATATATATATAAATGGGGAGGGGGTCCTGGACCAGGGGGGGGGGCCTCACTTTGCCCAATGGCTGTGGTCACCCCCCCGCCGGAGACGCCAGGACGCTCCCAGGACCCTCTAAAATGGCTCCAGGACGCCCTCAGGACAGCCCAAGAGAAGTCCGAAGCGGCCCGTGAGCACTCCAAGACGGTAAAAAAGCTGCCAAAGCGTCCCAGCAGGTCTCCGACAGCACTCTCGGGAGGGGCCCAATAGGAAATTGTCACTGTTTTTTAGTGGGTTTTGAAGGGTTTTGGCGTTCTCCCCAGTTCGGCTTCCAGACGCTCCAAGGCGGCCCAAGAGGCCCGAAAGATCGCCTCAAGACGAGCCCAGAGGCCCCCAAGAGACCACCGAGACAGCCCAAGAGGGCCCCAAGACGGCCCAGGAAGCTTCCAAGACGGCCCAAAAGAGCTCCCAGAACACTCCAAGAGGAGCCCCAGATGGGGAACACGAACTGACATTTCGAGCCCTCGCCCACCAGAAGCTCCCAAGAGGCCCCCAGGAGTCCGCAAGAGGCCTCGAGAGGCCCCCAGGAAGCTCCAAGAGGCCTCCAAAAGGCGCCGAAAGGGCCCCGCAAGGCTTCCAGACGCTGGTGATAATGACAATGATGATTATGCAGGGCGGCCTCAGGCCCACAAACCTAAATCCCCAATACTGCTCACGCGGCATGCAAGACGCTGCGGAGATATCCTCGAGTTCGGCGGGGGAGTTTCGGAGACGACGGTGACGAAAATGATGACGATGATGACGACTATTATGAAGTTAACGACGACGATGATGATGATGATGATGATGATGATGATGATGATGAGGATGAGGATGAGGATGAGGATGATGATGATGATGATGATGGTGATGGTGATGGTGATGGTGATGAGGAATAAGATTACGATGATGATGTTGACAGTGGGAATGATGATGATGACGCTGCTGATGATGATGTTGATGATGGTGATCGTGATGTGAGTGATGGTGGTGATGACGATGGTGGTGATGCTGACGATCATGATGACGATGACGGTGATGCCGTTGAGGATGGTGATGCTGACGATCATTATGATGATGCTGCTGATGGTCAGGATGATAACGCCGATGCTGATAATAATGGTGGCGATGCTGTTTATGGTGCTTGTGATGCAGGAGTGGGCGGATGATGAAGATGATGACGATGATGATGACGATAACGACGACGACGATCACGACGACGACGACGATAATGATGACGATGGCGATGATGAGGATGATTATGTTGATAATTCAGGTGACGATATTGACGATGATGACGACGATGGCGATGATGAAGATGGTGATGACGATGTTGCTGCTGATGGTGGTGATGGTGACGATTGTGATGATGGTGATGGTCATGGTGATGATGACGATGCTGCTGACGATGACGCCGGATATGATGGTGATGAGGATGGCGATGATGACGATGACGATTAACCTAGCTAGAACTTGAGCGCGCGCGAAGCGCGCGATGGTTCTAGTATATCTATATATACATATATATGTATATATAAAGACGCGGTGGGGCTTGGGTTCCTGAAGGCGCGTGCCCCAACGAGAATCACGCTCACGGCTCGGACGTGTAGCAACAGCCCTACCCACCCACCAGCCCTGGGCGCCTCCCTCCTCCCTTCTCGCCTGCCTCCTCCTCCTCCTCCTCCATCCCTTCCCTTGCTCCTCCTCCTCCGCCTCCTCCTCCTCCCTCACCCCTACTCTTCCTTCTCCTCCTCCTCCTTGTCCTCCTTCTCCTCCTCCTCCGCCTCCTCCTCCTCCTGACCACCACCATCACCAACGACATCAGCAACTAACGGCAACAGCATCAACATCAACACCATCGGCATCACCATTAACGTCACAATCTGCATCGTCATCATCATCCTCATCATTTTGACCATGACCATGACCCTCCTCCTCTTCCTCCTCCTCCTCCTCATCATCATCAGCATCATCATCATAATCATCATCAGCAGCATCCTCATCCTCATCCTCATCCTCATCCTCATCCTCATCCTCATCCGCATCCTCATCCTCCTCATCATCATCATCATCATCATCATCAGCAGCAGCAGCATCAGCATCAGCATCATCACCATCGTCATCAGCATCAGCATCAGCATCATCATTATCAGCATCAGCATCAGCATCGTCATCGTCATCATCATCATCATCAGCAGCATCAGCATCATCAGTATCATCCTCAGCATCCTCCTCCTCCAAATCCTCCTCAGCATCATCAGCATCAGCATCATCATCAGCAGAACAATCAACATCGTTACTAGCATCATCAGCATCAACATCAGCATCATCAGCAGCAGCAGCACCATCACCATCATCATCATCATCATCATCAGCAGCAGCAGCAGCAGCAGCAAAATCATTATCATCAGCAACATCATCATATCATCATCAGCATCGACATCGGCATCAGCATCAGCATCATCATCAGCACCACCATTCCTTCATTATCCTTTCCTCCCTCCATGCCTCCCCTCCTCCCTCCCCTCCCCTCCCTCCCCTCCCCTCCCTACCTCAATCCCTCCCACCCCCCCTTCCCGCTCCCCCTCCGCCCTTTGCCTCCTCCTCCTCCTCACCCTCCTTCTCCTCCTCCTCCTTCTCCTCCTCCTCCTCACCCTCACCCTCACCCTCCTCCTCCTGCCCCAGGGGGCCTCTCGGATCGAGCGGCGCCGTGACGCTGCGGCACTAGACCCCCGCGACAGGTGGTGAGCTTCCCCCCCAGCCGCTCCTGAGTGGGAGGTGTCGCTAAAGGGGCCGTGCCCGCGGCCCCACCCAATACTTACCCAAGCCACCACCACCAGCTCCACCACCCTCTACTCTTCCTCCTCCTCCTCCTCCTCCTCCTCCTCCTCCTCCTCGTCCTCGTCCTCGTCCTCCTCCTCCTCCTCCTCCTCCTCCTCCTCCTCATCCTGCTCCTCCTCCGCCTGCGCTTCCGCCTCCGCCTCCGCCTCCGCATCTGCCTCGGACCCCGCCTGCTCCTCCTCCGCCTCCTCCTCCTCTTCATCCTCCTCTTCCTCCCCCTTCCACCCGCACCTCGGGGCCACCACTGCTCCTCATCGATCCGCGTGCCCTTCCCCCCTACTCGAGTGGCCTCCGACAGGGCGGGCAACGATCCCCCTTGTCGACCCCGATGCTACAAGAGAAGCGGTGCAGGGCGAACGCCGCGGCAAGCGCTGGGTCGTGCGCGGGCCCCTCGCCGTGACCTCGCGCTGGCTTTTGTCAGAGATGGCCCCCGAGATCCATCCGGGCGTGCCAATTTCGGCGCCCAGTTCCGAGCACGGGGGCCGTCGCAGAGCGATCCGGCTCGAAACGTGGAGCAGAAAGATGGGGGCTGCTTGGGGCTCTGGTCGTGCTTGTTTCGCGATGACGCACGTGTTCCCCACGTCGGATCTTGGGCGTGGGCGAGGGGTGTACTCCATCATCCCTTCGGATCGTAAGGCTGTGTTGCACCCAACGTATACTCAAGGACCACATCCCAGAAATAATCTCGAGCACCCAGAAAAATATCGAAACGGTGTCGAACGAGTATCGCCTCCCAGGGCCCGACACGTGAACACCCTCCAGTTTCGGTACTTTCTTGGTGTTCGAAAGTTCTGTTGGTGATCAAGGCTGAAGTAGGTTGGAACATCATGACGAGAAGGCGGGCGGCGTGCAGACAGCCGCCTCAGGGGGTCCTCGCGGGCCTCGACAGGCCCCTGCGAGCTGTCACAACTGGCCTCAACAGGTCCCCCAAGAGGTCTGGGGCGGTCTCTCGCCCTCTCCCTCCGTCTCTCTCTCTCTCTCTCTCTCTCTCCCTCTCTCTCGCTCTCCTCCCCCACCCTCTTCCTCCCTGCATCCTCCTCCTCCTCCTCCCTCCTCCTCCTCCTCTTCTTCGTCGTCTTCTTCTTCTTATTCTTCTTCTTCTTCTTACTCCTCCTCCTCCTCCTCCTCCTCCTCCTCCTCCTCCTCCTCCTCCTCCCCGCTCTCTCACCCTGCCTATCCGACAGGCGTTTCTCAGGGGAACAAATTGCAAAACGCACGTGTTTCCCGAAGGGCGACTCGCGATTCAACACTCATCCTGGGGAGGAGGAGGAGGAGGAGGAGGAGGAGGAGAAGGAGGAGGAGAAGGAGGAGAAGGAGGAGAGGGAGGAGGAGGAGGAGGAGGAGGAGGAGGAGGGTGAGGAGGAGAGATGCACACATATTAGGACCAATGTGTCCTCTCTCGGCAACGGCCCGTCGCCTTGGCCGAAGCTTCTAGGCGCTGATTTGTTCCGTGACTGCGGCTTTGGCTCAGACTCACACCGCCTCAGAACATTTTCAGGGATCGTACCCTCGCCGCCAGCAAAACCCTCGTTAATCCTCAGCAGGTGTCGAGATCATCGTTCCTGGAGGCGCGTGATGATGCTGCTGTTGATGATGATGGTGATGATAATGATGATGATGCTGTTGGTGATGATGGTGATGGTGATCGTGATGGTTGTGGTGGTGGTGAGGATGACGATGACGATAATGATGATGATGCTGGTGAGGTTGATGATGATGATGATGATGATGATGGTGGTGATGATGATGATGATGATGATGATGATGATGAAGCTGAGGCGGATGATGATGATGCCGCTGATGATGATGAGACTGAGGATGATGATGCCGATGATGATGCTGCTGGTGATGATGTTGATGATGCTGCGAATGATGATGATAACGACAATGATGGTGATGCTGCTGCTGATGCTGTAACTGAATGACGATGATGATGCTGCTGATGATGGTGAGTTAAAACCAGATTATGGTGGTGGTGATGCTGATGATGACGGTGCCTTTGATGCCAATGCTGATGCTGATGTTGATGCTGATGCTGTTGATGCTGCTGCTGCGGCTGCTGACGATGATGATGCTACTGATGCTGCTGCTGCTGATGCTGATGATGATGATGATGCTGATGGTGGTGATGATGCTCATGATGGAATGGAGGAGCAGCAGCAGCAGCTGAATGAGTCGGCATCATCAACATCTGAAAAGGTAGATAAAAACAAAGAGCAGGAGCAGGGGCCAAGGAAGAGGCGCAGTGACGAAGAACAATACAAAGAGGGTGGAACATGCTCGACACCATGGTGATCCGCGACCAGGGCTCTCAATAATGACCGCAGGGAGGTGTTTCGCAAAGCGCGGCCACCAATCACTCCACAGCAACTGCCAGACATAAACTGTGCACTCGTTGTGCATTCAAACCTTTGGGGACTGCCGCGTTCTGCGCTTAGGCGCTCGAGCGGCAAAAAAAAAAACAGCGCGGCGGCAACGAAGCCAGCGCACCTCGGTATTGTCCGCCTGCTCTCCTTTGAGGAGGAGGCGACGACTTTAAAGGGAGAGGAGGATGAAGAGGCGGACGAGGAGGAAGCGATCGCGACCCAGAGGGGAGGATGAAAAGAAGGAGGATGAGGCGATCGCTAACCAGAGAGAACACGGAGGGAGGAGGAGGAGGAGGAGGAGGAGGAGAAGATCGAGCAGGACCTGGAAGACGAGGAGGAGCAGGGGGATCAGCAGGACAAGGACGAAGAAGAGGAGGACGACGAAGACGACGCTGGTGACAAGCAGGGAAGGCAGGAGGAGGGGCCGCATCTCCTGGACGAGGCCCCCGCGGGCGGGGGGGTCCGCGCGCACAACGGGCTGGCACCGCCCGAGCGAAGGGCACGGCCAAGACGTGCACGCACGAGCGACAGGCAAACCACTCGAGAGCTCGAAGGTCGTCGTCGCCGCCGCCGCCGTCGTCGTCGTCGTCGCCGTCGTTATCACCGTCGTCGTCGCCGTCGTCGTCGCCGTCGTCGTCGGCGTCGCCGTCGTCGTCGCCGTCGTCGTCGTCGTCGTCGTCGGCGTCGTCGGCGTCGCCGTCGTCGTCGGCGTCGGCGTCGTCGTCGGCGTCGGCGTCGGCGGTGGCGGATCCTGGAAACCCTGGACCCAGAAGCGTTTGCTTCTCTTGGGGGGCAGCTTGTTACTTCCGCCGCCTTCCGCCAGCCTTCCGCCACCTTCCGCCGGCGGAGGCGGCCTCGTGTTGCTTCCGCCGCTCTTCCACCGCCCTTCCGCCGCGGAAGAGATGACAACTCCTTCGATCCTCGAAGGCAAGGCCCTTTCTAGAACGCCCCACGTGAGCGACAAGCAAACCACTCGAGCTCGAAGGTCGTCGTCGTTGTCGTCGTCGTCGATGTTGCGCGAGATGACGTGGCGATCTCACGCGGCGGCTTGCGCGGACCGCCACCGCGGCACGCCGCAGTGGAGAACGAGGGCGCCCACGCGCAACATTACGCACGCGGGCGGCTGACGCGCCAGCGTCGGCGACGACGACCCCAGCAGCCCGGCAGCAGACGCTGGCCGCAACCGACGGCGGCCACCGTCGGGCAGGCGGGCCTCCTCGGACGGGCCTCGCCCGCGGCGACGCCAATAACGAGCCATGTCCGACGTGGGCAACGAGCTGCCGTCGGCTCCGCCCGCGTCCTCTCTCCGTTCCTGCCTCGGCCGCGCCGAGCGGAAGGGCACTTGGGCCCTGGACCGGGGGGTCGGGCCCCTCCCCAGGACCAGCTCTTCATCCCGCGTCGCTCCGTGGACGACTCGTCATCGTCATCGTCATCGTCATCGGCATCGGCATCGCCAGCCTCCCCAACAGGACCAGCTCGTCATCCCGAGTCGTTTTGTGGACGGCTTGTCGTCATCGTCATCTTCATCCTCCCAAGGACCAGCTGGTCATCCCAGAGTCGTGTAGTGGACGGCTCAGTCGTCGTCATCGTCATCGACATCGGCATCGGCATCGTCATCGGCATCGTCCTCCTACCCAGGACCAGCTCGCCATCCCGAGTCGTTTTGTGGACGGCTCGTCATCGCCATCGTCATCGTCGTCGCCATCGGCATCATCCTCCTCCCCGGGAGCAGCTCTTCATCCCGAGTCGTTTAGTGGATGGCTCGTCATCGTCATCGTCATCGGCATCGTCATCGTCATCCTCCCCAGGACCAGCTTATCATCCCGAGTCGTTTTGTTGACGGCTCGTCATCGCCTTCGGCATCGCCGTCGTCATCGGCATCTTCCTCCTCCCGAGGACCAGCTCTTCATCCCGAGGTGTTTAACGGACGGCTCGCCCAGTCGTTTTGTGGACGGCTCGTCACCGTCATCGTCGTCGCCATGGCCATCGCCATCGACATCGTCCTCCTCCCCAGGAGCAGCTCTTCATCCCGCGTCGCTCCGTGGACGGCTCCCACGAGTCGATTTGTGGACGGCTCGCCATCGCCATCGCCATCGCCATCGCCATCGACATCGACCTCCTCCCCGGGAGCAGCTCTTCATCCCGCGTCGCTCCGTGGACGGCTCCCACGAGTCGTTTTGTGGACGGCTCCCATCGCCATCGCCCTCGGCACCCCGCGTCGTTCCGTGGACGGCCCCCGACGGCCCGCGGAGCGCCCCCCAAGGCCCGCGCGCAGCGAAACGCCTCGCAGAGCCTCCTGGTCAAAGGCCGGCTCTCCGGCGGCCGCTCGGGGCGACCCGAGCAGCCTCGGGAGGCGCTCGGCGAGGCGCAGCTGCGGGAGGGCATCCCGAGGCCGGAAAGCCTCCCAAACCCTCCCCCCGACTCCGGATCCGCTGTAGATTGGGCAATTCCGCAAGCAGGGCTTGAAATTTCCGCCCTGCTTTTTGGGCTCTGTTGACGTCGATTTCCGCCCTACTTCTGCGCTGCCGTTTCCGCCCTACCTTTGTGGATTTCCCCCGGCAAGGGGGATCCCCCTTGCCTCCCTTCCCCTTGCCTCCCTCCCCCCCCTCCTCCCCTGCCCCCTCCTCCCTCCTGCATCCTCCCTCCCCCCCTCCTCCCTCCTCCCTCCTCCCCCTCCCCTTCCTTTCCACCATTCCCCCTCCTCGCTCCACCCCCCCCTTGGCTCCCTCCCTCCCTCCCTCCCTCCCTCAGGATCCGACCCGGTTCCTGCAAGGCGGTGAGAGCAGGACGGAGGGCGAGGGCTGGCGATTCGCAGGGCGCGTGTGCCCCGCGGGGCCTGCGCGGCGCCGCGCGCCGCGGGCGTCGGGGGTTCAGCGGCACCTCCGGTGGTCACTGCAGGATGCCGTGCTCGCGGAGCGCCTTTGAGGGGGGGAGGATGAAGGGGGGGAGCAGGAGGAGGAGGAGGAAGAGGAGAAGAAGGAAGAGGAGGAGGAGGAGGAGGAGGAGGAGGAGGAGGAGGAGGACGAGGAGGAG